CTCTCTCTCTCTCTCTCTCTCTCTCTCTCTCTCTCTCTCTCTCTCTCTCTCCTCTCTCTCTCTCCTCTCTCTCTCTCTCTCTCTCTCTCTCTCTCTCACTGATGGGGAGCTTCTTGCAGACACCACTAAGTATCGTATTATGGTTTGACGTGCACTTTGTCGTGATGTGCACTCAAAATAATAATACAATACAACACTTATACGTAGTATAGCGTAGTAAGATTTGTATCCGCAGGAAAAGGAATACTTCTCTTTTTATAACTAGTAATAAGGGTTTTTTTTAGATTTGTTGTTGAAGAACTTTTAGAATATTAAAACACAAATATGAACGAGTTATGTGGGTTAATTAATGAGAAGAAGACTTGGTTTTGCTTTTATCCACTTAATGAAATGTTCGTCGATCCCGGTTATATCTATAACTATCTTCCTCTCGAATACTCAATCGAGGAGTATATCCAGTTCATTGAGGGTAGTTATTAATAACGAGATGCGTTCATTAATAAAACTTACTATCGAGTCAATATAGAACAAGCGCCGTATATTAACTTGATAGTGGCAATAAACTTAAGATGAAAACGATTGAGATTGATAACCTCAACACAAGCGGTTTATTGGTTAATCAATGTAATTAATTCCCCTTAGATTATTAACCATGAGATGCATGCATTAATAATCCAAGTTTACTACCGTGAAAGGACCGAATCAATAACAAGCGTATTAATCGACCGATTCTAGTATTAATTAATATATGAAACAAAACTAGTTGATCCTTTAAGTAATGTTCAAAATATTAATATGAAATATGAATAGGAATTAATTAATACTCAAGAAAGAATATTAAAGAAGATGGATCCTACTATAGTTAATATCAAGATGTTAACTAATTGTCATCTTAGTAACACTCCCCGATATTAACGTAGATGAAGAAATAACTATTGCTATAACTAATGTCAAGATGTTAACTAATTGTCATCTTAGTAACACTCCCCAACATTGATATAGAAATAGTATTTAAAAGAAGAAGTAATATTCAAGGAAGAAGATTAAAGATAATAACTCACAACTTACAAATTCATTAAGATTCAAAGCAGCAAAACCAAGATGGAAGAGTTTAGCTCCTCATTTGGAGACTAAACATGATAAAAATATAAAGAAAACACTAATCTAAACTGAGCTAGAGAGTATATGTGAATTGGTGATTTTATTGGGAAGGAAAGGGGTGTATTTATAGGCTTTTGAGAGCTGCAGGGTCTGATACCCGACCGGGTATCTCAGGAAATTGCCCAGAAAATGATTTTTCTGGGCATACCCGATCGGGTAAGGGTATATACCCGATCGGGTATGTGACAAATCTTTATGAAAATTTGCTCCCACGATCATTTGTCTTCGGATTTGATTTGGACAGTCGAATCAAGCAATTACCCGATGGGGTATAGTGATAGACAATTTAATAGTCCTCGCAAGTGCACGAGTCACAGTAGTATAGTGCACAAGTAAGGGTCGAATCCACGGGGAAAATGTAACCAAGTAATTGGAAAACTATTAATAAAAAATGGAAGTGAAATAAACTTAACTAAAAAAAAATGAGTTTTTGAATTTGTTTGATTTAAAACTGAAAAGTAAGGCTTGAGTTAAAATATATGGATGCAAGGAATTTGAAAGATTAAAACAACTAAAAATTGAATAGCAGAAAATGATCGAGAATTCAGCAAGGGAAAAGATAGCCCGGGATTATGAATCAGTCACTAATCTTTAGTATTTGCGATTTAGTTAGTCAATTAAAATTGAGGGTTCGTTCTAGACGAAAATATGACTTTTCCGTATGGCGTCCAGAATAAGTCACGTACCTTAACTATTAATCAATAAAAAAAATTATTAATTTAATAGTTAAAATCCATTAAACACAAAAGAACTACGGAAACCCGATTTAAGAACCAAATAGATAATCTAACAAGACAGTAAAATTATCTATTCTTTTATCCAAAAGAGCTCGAACTAATAGGCATGGCATATACTCTATTAGTCCACTCAAACAACTTAATTAATTATATTAAAGTTGGCCAAAAATTAACACAATCAATTAGGTGAATAAGAACAATGGATAAAACTCAACCAATTGACATAACTAAAATCATAATTCATACTAAATCATAGCAACTTCATCATAATCCGGACTTAAGGAATTTAGCTACTCATATCAAAACTGGCTGAGAGTAACACAACAATAATAAAAGAGTTCATCTTGAACATTTAACAATCAACAAAATAACGAGTACTGACAATTCCCAAATAACTAAACCAAAGCAAGTTTGTTATCAAGAAAAGTAACGTACAAATCAAGATCAAAAGAGAATATTGCTGAATCAAACCAGAATTTTTCAAGCACTAACTAATTCCTTCCTCCAGAAAGTTGCAGCCTGAAGTTCAATGGGTCATCTCCCAGGTTGCAGCCCTTCCTCCTCGCAATCCTCCCCTTAAAACCCTTGCTATTGCGGTTTTTATATCCCCGAATTACAGTCAGTTCCAACCCTTAACTCCTGATTTTTCGGTGCCGTTCGAGAGTAGGAACCACAATTCGTGGAGCCGTTTCGAATTGATGATTCAAAAGAACCCCCAAATCTACCTCCTTTCCTTCTGCTCCTTGGACTCTTTTTCTTCATTTTTGTTAGAGCCGTTCTTGGACTTTGCTGGGCTGTTTTCTCTTTTTCCAATTTTCCTTATCAGTCAAAATAAAAGAGTTACTCTCCTTTAATTTTGTTCTCGAGCCTAGTTTACTCTCACAGAAATTATGTGAAAGCTTCCAAATTTGAACTGGCCCATTCTTGAATTTGGAAATAACATCTCTTCAATGAGCCCCAATGAGCCCAATTGCTTCATTTAAATTTCTCACCTGTAAAAATCAATTTTAAGATAAAAGTAAGATTAAAACCTCTCAATTAGGCAAATAATAAGTATAGAACTGTGATAACAATTAATCACAAATTCTAACTTATCATATAGGCAATACCCGACCGGGTACATGAGTATGTTTTCCAAATCGAAATCTTTCTTGCCTCCTTGCACTTTCCTTGATCTTTTAAGGTCCAATCTTGATCCCTTGGATGATCTTTGACCTGTTTAGCTCAGAAAAATCCTAATCTAACTAAATTACAAATTAAAAATGAAAATAAAGTATAGTATTACACCAAAAGTGTGTAATTTCCACAACTACAACTAATAAAAACTAGTTAAAAATAAAAACATACAATCGGAAATTACATGAATATCATGGTTGATGCGTTATATTATTTAATTATGACACGACCTGATATTACCGATGTTGTGCATTTATGTCTCAGTTTATGCATGTTCCCCGCATTACTCATCTTTTTTGCAATCAAGAGGATTTACATGTATTTGCAGGGGACACTTGATCATGGACTATTGTCGCGTCCTACTACACAGGCCACATGTGTTATTGCATATTCCGATGCTGATCGGGCTTAATGTCCAGATACGCCCCACTCCATGACAGGATTTGATGTGTTCTTAGGGTCGAACCTTGTCTCTTGGAAGTCCAAAAAGCATCATACAGTCTCCGAGTCCTCTACAGAAGCAGAGTACAGAGCCATTGCGTACATTGTACAAGATACGTTACGTGTTTGTTCGATGTCATTTGGGATTGGTTTTCCTGTCAAAGCTCATGTTCAGCTGTTTTGTGATAACATCTATGCCTCATACTTGACTACTAATCCCGTTTAACATGCTCGCAACAAACATATTCAGATTCACAGAGATTTGGTTGTGAAGTATATTCCTACACAGTTAGGAATATTTGTTTCCTAAAATATGTTTAGGAATAATTGTTTCCTATTGTATTTGGACTCTCCTATTAAATATACACATGTCAGGACTCCTATATATTGGATAATCTTTTCCCATTATTCTCACACAAATCGCCAATCTTCTTTGATATACAGTTGTGAAAAAATTCCACTATTGGTCCCATGACTACTATGTCATTTCCACATTTTCCCCTCGACTTTCAATTTAACCACATTTTTTCTGTGACCTTTTCCCCTTCACCACTTGTCATCCTTCCGACGACAACTCCGGCACATTTTAACTGGAAATCCATTTAGTAAATGTATTTTGTTAAAACAGCTACCTTCTAAATTAGCTCGACTTAATGTGTAGTTAATATGTCAGTCTCCCTCTCCCTGAAAACCGAACTCTTCTCCCTATCAACCGCGTATTAATGAGATCGACATATTAACTACGCCTTTTGTGTTTTAACAACATATATTTACTAAAATGTCCCTAATATTTCTCCGTAAATGGCTTTCCGGTTAAAATGTACTGGAGTTATGGTCGGAAGGACAACGGGTGGTTAAGGGGAAAAAGTCACAGACTAAATGTGGTTAAATTGAAAGTCAAGGGAGAAATAAGGAAGTGGCATAATAGTCACGAAACCAAAAATGAATTTTTTTTCTATAGTTGTAGAAGGAAAGAGCTCTGTTGCAATCAATGTCCACTAATTGCGCCCTACAATATTGTTTAGTTTCTGTTTTAGAAGAAGGTTCTGCCTTTTGTGTTTAAACTGCAGGCAGACACATGAGAGCAATCAAGTCATTTTGTTTTGAGTTTGAGACCGAGTACTCATGTATGATCACTATGACTATGTTTGGCAGGCGTAAGTCATTGTCTTCTAGTTTTTGTACTATTTAAAAAGTCTCTAAAAGCTTCTTGTTGTATGTCTAGTATGACAATCTTTAAGAGCTTTCAAAAAATAAAAGATATTTTTTTTGAGATGTTACATGGGTAGAACCCGAGAAAACTCTGTGGCTTTTAGCATTAATAAGTCCCAACAGCTTATATACCAAACCGAGCTAAATCAAACAGTCAGTTTTTTACCAAACAGCTACCACCTTTTACTTTTAAGATCTTTTCAGTCACTAAAAGCTAACAGTTACTAAAAAGTCTATAAAAGTATCTTTTCAGCTAGTTGTGCCAAACATACCCTATAAGTCATCTTTTGGTGAATCAAGTTTATAGTCATAATATAAGATCGAAATTCAATGAGTTTCACTACATACATATGTACACCATGCATTATATTGTGGCGCACGCTAACCGCCACAACGACTAGATCTCACCGCATGCAACCAATTAATACGTACATGACCATATCGGTCGTCGTCGTCTCTAAGATACATAATTGGATAAGTTAAGATACAAACCCGGGTTCGCCGCCCTCACATCTCGCCATCGTGCACGGCAGAGCACACAACTGAAGGATCTCCTGGGCTTGCTCTGCTTCCTCCATGCCTGCAAGCACTCCTCATGAATCGGGTTCTTACACGTTCCGCAGGCTGCTACTCTTCGCTCTTCCCTCTCTATTTCCTCCAAGCAAACCGGGCATGCCGCTCCCTCCGGTATCACCATTACTGGGTGCCGCGGCCTTTCCCGAGAGAAAAGCTGGTGGAACTTTTCTCGCAGCTTTGTCCCGGCGACTGCATCTGCAGAGGTTGGCAAGCCCAGTAGCCGGTTGAGCTGTCGTGGCGGAAGACTCTTCCTCCATATGCATGGATCGTGGAGCTTAAGTCCTAGTACCTGCATGTACATAAACCATATTATATGGAGTATTATATATAGGGGTATGAATAGGCTTGATGTGGAGTCAGGGGCCTGTGGCCGGCCTGGCCTGTTAAAGGCCTGGTCTGACTTGTTTGACAATCAAACAAGGCTTAGGCTTTTCAAAAAGCTCATTTATTTGTATTCCATTTTTTGTCGTTATTTGTATTCCTTATATATATATGAGGACTTTTCATGTCCAGCCTGCCTCACGGGAACCGCCGTCCGGCCGAGGGTATTTCGAGCACTTCCCGGTGGAATTTTTTGATGAAATTTTTTGGGCATGTTCTTAATCAAGTCTAGTTTATCCATACCAAATTTCAGCTCAAAATTCGATTGGGAAAGCATTCAAATAATATTTTGAAGTTGACTGGGTTTTTATATGTATACTTTGACGCCGTCAACTTCAAAAACTTATTTGAATGCCTTCCCGATCGAATTTTGATCTGAAATTTGGTATGGATAAACTAGACTTAAGGAAGAACATGCTCAAAAAATTTCATCAAAAAATTCCATCGGGAAGTGCCCGAAATGCCCTCGGCCGGACGACGGGTCCCGTCAGGCCGGCTGGACAAGAAAAGGACTCATACACACACACACACATACATATACAATCTTATAAACACCAATGCAGGTAAGAGTATAAATGGTATGAAAAAAGTGTTGGTGTAATCATCCTGCTTAGTCCGACTTATACAATGTGCTTTACCAGTTGTGCTCTACTAAAACAAACTATTTTTCCGTTTCATTGCCGTCTCTCATCGCCATCTTGGACGACCCTCCGTTTTCCTCCGTCTGTCGGTGCTCCTAACCCTGCTACATGTCTTGCAGTATGTTATCTTTCTGTTTTCACAGCTTCACGGTGAACTATGCTCATGTCCTTCTTGATTAATGTTTCGTATTATTATCTCATTGGATACCTGGTAATCGAGTCTGTTATATGGATGGTAGAGCGGCTTACCCCTCCAGCCTTTTGGATTTTTATGGGATTTTAATCTCCCGGTAGATTTGGATAATTGTGAGAATCTATGGATTCAGCCAGTGCACGCAGCAGATATGGTGGTATGTGCAAAGAAATTCCTAATCGGTCTCAACCTGAAACCCGATTTTTCCTGGTGGAGGTGCGGCGGTAATCTCCAGCACGGCTGTCTTCCTCTAAAACAGCCACGTCTCACCATTGGAATTAAAAATCCCATGAAACCAAGCAGCTCATGAAAAACGAAATGCCAAGGCGGTCCCTTTGTGTAATTATCAAATCGGGTCTTCAAGATGGCTCCAGATTCTTTGGGTTCCAGGTGATTGTGACCAGGCCCTGTTTTCGAGCCGACAAGGGACGGTACAAATGCAGGTACGTGCCCTTCATGGATCATGAAATGAATCTATGGCCTAGCCGGGTCTAGGTAAAGGGCGAGTTCTTTCAGGGTGGACATCTTACATCAACTCATAAGTAGTACTCCGTATAATTTTCTTTGATTGCAGATTTGACAAATAATTGGCAAATCCGCAAATATGTGCACCAAAGTCTTCTGTTAGAAGGTAAAACATCATCTCATGAACTTTTACATTTTCCTATTTGTGTTCTCTATTTGAGTTGTGAAGTATGCATGTATGATTCTTTCAAGTGTTTTAGTTATTGTGAGTGATTAGTGATTACTTAACAAATGTGCTACGAGAAAAGGGGCAAATAAGGTCACATACTAACCAAAAAGGTCAAATAAGGCCTTATTTCAGAGGCTCTGTCCGGCCGTCGCCATTTGGGGTGGTTCCCGGTAGAATTTTTTAATGAACTTTTTTTAGCATCTTATTCAGTAAGTGTAGTTTACTCATAGCAAATTTTAGCTAAAACTTCAATCGGGAAGGCATTCAAATGAATTCTTAAAGATAACTGCGTAGTTAAAAGCGCAGTTATCTTCAAGAGTTCATTTGAATAAGATGGTCAAAAAAATTCATCAAAAAAATTCACCGAAAACCACCCCAAATGGAGAAGGCCGGACAGAGTCTCATAAATAAGGTCTTATTTGACCTTTTTTTGTTAGTACGTGGCCTTATTTGCTCCTTTTCCCAATGTGCTACTGGATATTAGCTTAATGAAAATTGAAACACAAACAAGATATTATTAACATTGCAGTATTATATCCGTCAACATCAGTTACTTGATAAAATTGATGAACAAAAGTAGCAACATAAGTTTTCATATCTCACAACCAATTAAGGCACGCAATTTAGGGAACGTGGTTCGCCCGTTGGGTTGGACGGTTAGTCAACAAAGCTAAAACTCAGTAGAAAAGAATGAGGCTTCAGAAGTGAATCATAGGGTAGAAGTTTTACTATGATCTCTTGTACTAATTTCTAGATTTTGAGGACTCATTCTATATTCTGGGCGGGCAGTCTGGAAATGGCCAGTTACTGCAGCCATGATGGCCTCAAACCCAGTTTCTTTGTGAGAACATGCTCATAAGGATTCTTGGATCATACGTATATTTCTTTGTATATCACTCCTAGGTCTATTGGTGTTTTATTTGGTTCTCTTTATTTTAGTTGATTATTATTCCTTTATTTGTTCACTATTTTTATGCCCAAAACTTTTTACTATAGGACTCTAGCAGTCTTTCAAAAAAAAAAAATAGGACTCTAGCAGAATTATTTTATACTCCATGCTGTGGGGGTGTAGTTTTACTCAATTTAAATACAAATTTTAAGTTGCACTACAATTTGCACTTGCAAGCATTACTATTTTGTTCTGGTTTGCTAATTAGTTATGGTGTGTCATAATTAACTATGAATTAAGTAGTGTGGTATGACTGAACTGGTTTAGTTATGAGCTGCCATCTCCTACACTTTTGCATCAGATCTCCAAGAGATAAAACTAAATGGATTGCATCATTTATTTTAAATAGGAATAGTATAGAATAAATAAACTTAGTTAGAAGTGTCTATTTTAAAATTAATAAACCGAACAAATATTTAGGTGATATTTCCTTTTTATTTTGGTACTCCATCTGTCCCACTAACAATGGGACAAGAGGGAGTGACACACATACTAATAAAAAGTGATTTATGTAGTTGATATTGAATTGATAAAGTAAGAATAAAATAAGAATGATTTAGAACCACACATATTTTTCTAAATTTGGTACGTGACAATCTTAGTGGGACGTACCGAAAAAAGAAAAATGGGAAAATCTTAGCGGGACGGAGAGAATATATTTTATATGAATGGACCTGACATAGGTTGAAGTAGAATGGAGTTACTAAAACTAATTTGTACTTCTGTGCCTTTTGATTGTTAGTCCATTTTATTTTTGTAAGTTAGAACAATTTGGGCAATCAATATTGCTTATCCGTTTCAATAACATGGCTTATCCCATGTTAGTACTTTTTGTAATTTACGCTATATATGTCTTGTGTTCTCTTTCAGTCTAAACGGATTGCAAGGAATTTTGTGTAGGCATTGTTCCTTAAAAAAAGATATGTGATTTTAATCGGCTTCTTTTATGAAAAAAGATGACTCGAAACTTTAATGCCTTTAGCTTTATTAACCTGGTTAGGATGAAGAAGAATAAAAATCACTTGATCTAATTTGGCTCAATTATGCATTTAAGCTCTGTTCCTAACCTTAATATGATGGCCTAACGAGTTAAGTTAAAATTTCATTTTTCATTTTTATTTTCATTTACCCCAGTGCCGCAAAGGCTCCCACCTACGGTGGGGTAGGGGGGGCGGATGTACACAGTCTTACCCCTGTACTAAAGCACAGAGAGACTGTTTCCGAATGACCCATAGTGAAAATAGCGTCAAAAATTGCATGGACTGACTGTTGCTTATAACAAAGAAGCGCAGAGAGTTTAGTGAGCCATTTTGCTTTATTCCATCATATTCTCAAGCCAAAAAATAATGAATCTTTGGCTCCATTGAAAATGATGGAAAGAACGAGTTAAGTTAAAATGGTAGTCTTTTTTTTGTTTTTCTTTTTATACCAAATCAAATCATTCGAAACACTTTTAACATTTACAAAACTGATTTACACACATGTAGCTCACTCGAATATAGGTTTACCAATAATTTGTTTGGTTGTTCTTACTTAATGAACTCCAAAGAAGAAAAACTAGCAAAGTCCGCATCCAAAGGAGAGAGGAAGAATGACTTGAGCGGAGTAGAAAAATTACTAAACTTATATCAAAATAATTTGAGGTTGAGGAAGAGATATACATAGTTCAAAAGGGGAGAAAACTACAAAGTATTTCTACATTTTACTCTTTTATAGTTCGGAAAGAGTTTCAGCTATGATCATTTCTTTAACAGGACTAGCATGATGCCGTTGAACATTCTATGGTTTAACATGACTTCTCCAAACCCAGCTAAGAAGAACACCAGAGTACAATGGCACAACTCTACAACTCAATAGTAAAAGAATCCTCATGGTGAAAACAAAGCCCCTATACAAATCCCCTACACTAAAACCTAACTAATAATATTTTGTAATGCAGTTCCACATAATTAAGCTCATATATTATTTTTGTTAGCATTTCTATAAGTATAGGTCCATATAGTCTGTGCTGAATTTTCGTTTCACCCGCCTATAGACTATTTGCATATGAACACAGGTAATGCCATTTAACTTAGAAATTTAATGTTATAAATGTTCACAAAGATTTGTTTATAAATTACATTGCTAATTCTCCACTCCAATCGTCTATTCTACTGTTTAGCTATGAACTATGAGTTGTGACAATGTAATTTTTCCCACTTGAGCAAAGAAAGAGGGCTTGTGTGTGCAATACTATGTACCTTACACTAAAAACAATGTTCTGCTTTCTCTCGTATGGAAATATATATGTAACATGTTGGTGATTTCTCTTAATATATGTTCACTCTACCCGTTATTGATATCTCTTGTGTAATTTAGTTGGTGTTTCAAACTGAGTGAAGTAAAAGCTAGAGGTGTATGAGATGTATTACTTATTTGCAACTACTATTTT